TTTCGGATTAGACATATAAAGGAATAAAAAAGTACAGAGAAATCCATACAAGGGTTAAAAAAACATAGCCAAGACTGAACCCCGTTGAAAATGACTCAAGAGGCAATAATTTCAGCTAAAATGACAGATTAAAACACTGTTTCAACCTTTAGTAGCTTTAGAGGATGTCTTTGTAATATGCAGTCAACCTCCGTGTGGCATTCGCTGTCGTAGCAGGTTGTGTGTGCTGGGAAAACTGACGTTTTCACTAGCTGTTCGTTTATCCCTTGCGCACATTTTGAGCCAAGTTCAGTGATGGTCTATGGTTACGAAATATGACGTCATAAGTAACAGGTGGTAAAGCCATTTTGAGTGAAAAAAACATGTTTGTTCAATTTCCTTCAACAATAAAAGTAAATCTTGTGGCTAAAATCATGCAAAGTGCTTAATTATGTGTTATTTTCCATATCAAGCCAAAAAAATGGCCATTTCTCGCGATTTTTTTAAAACTTGATTTCTAATTCTTGGTAAAATCCAAGATGGATACCACCGCGGGGATATGAATTTGCGTGTACGTCCGAAGGTTAAATGAGACCGAATTAAATATTTATTCCCCACTACTGCTACCTGAATTAAATTTTTTGCGAAAACGTCAAACTCTGTATTGTAAACTAAAGAAAAAGTATTCCGCAACAAGTGCGAAAGAGCTATCAAAGAGGTTTCCGAATCGTTCACACTTTTATGTATGTGTTTGTCTGCCCATTTTAAGATGAAAGCAAACATAAATAGCTATCGTCTCTGGGAAGAAAGGTTTCCGCATAGATAGTCTTTCTTTAAGGTTTTTGGTCTACGAGTCTACGCGCGCCGCTGCTTTCATAGTTTGTGAGCTAACATTTATTTGCATAATTGTGTTTTATTGATCAACCGTGAGCTGCTGGATTTTGGTTAAGTTTTTTTCTTGCATTGTTGAGGATGGAAATCAAATGAAGGTACAAAGACGAGAAAAAAAACATCATGAAAAGGAATTGGCTGCGAGCAAGCTCTCCGGGACGCGGAGAGCTTGCTCGCAGGCTAGAAAAGGAAACACGAGGTCAACCCCAACGTTTCCTAAATAAAAATAAAAATACGTTGAATTATTACCTATCACTATTTACATATTCTCTGTTTACATATTTACACATTTAAAAAAGACTTTAACCTAGCTTTAAACAGTTTAAAAGATTCCGCTTCCGATTTATTTATAGGGGTTAACCCATACATTCAAAGACAATCTTATAGCATTCTATAAGTCAAGTGAAATGAAGACCACTGAGCGGATTCGCTTCATCGGTGGCAGGCATGTAATAAATTCTAATAGAAATACAAATTTTAATTCTTTCCAAGCAAAAAGAACATTGTTACTTACACTTGAATTATGCCTGGCCAAAGATTCCTTCGTTTGCGGTGCTCGACCATAAAATCGAAGATCAGCCTACGCGGGTATTTTCCTTCTGCCCTAAAAACCTTCTCAAAATCGTCTGGGTCTTTAACGTGCACCGTCATGGTGGGCCTAAACATCAAGTCTTCTTTGTAAACAGGACCAAGATCGTGGAACAAGCGCTCAGTTATTTTGTATGCTTTAGTAAATCCCTCGGTCTTTGTACAAAGATCGTACATGAACTTCCAACCTTTAGGTTCTGGAATTTCTTGAAAAGACCGTACTCCATCGAAAGTTTGTGGGCTTTCTATCTGCTTAGCCTCTGTTCTGTGCGATCTCCAGAAGAGCGTTAAAGGTTTAAGATATTGTTTTCTAAAGTCGAGGAGATTCCTGCGGAAAGCGATGCTCCTGGGTAGCATTTTACTTACGTTAAGCGAGATGTCGCTCGTTTACGGACTGGGAGTTTGCCTTCTTCGATCAGTAAAGAGCACAGGGTCCAGAGGAGTTAGAGCATCAAAACCCGTCAAAAACCTCTGAAAAAATGGGTCATTTTGATTGCGTTACAGTTTCGTTACACATTCTATATACCACAAGCAAGGGACTGAGGGCACGCAAGAGTATTTCCGGTCGTCGCTTCTCTCCCTCCAAAGGTTTTTTTCGGCGGGTGAAACTAGAGCCGAAAAACCTGGATGCTGTCGCCGGCTCGACAGTAGAGCGAGCGAAACCCGAGGGTTCGTAAAAATCACCCCACGCGAGAAAAGACGACACGTGATCTTAAAGGCTTTAGAAGTGCTTCACAATATGCAAGACTCCAAAGCAAGTGGATTTATCAATAGCATGCCCAAGTTCGAATTGCCAATGAATGGTTGCTACAATTTGGTGTGCCTCTCACCAACTATCTTCAAAGGGTTGACCTAAACCTACCACAGTCAACTCTCTCTAAGACGGACACCTTTGGGACCGGCACTAAGTGTATGTCTTAGAGGTGTCCGTCTTATAGAGAGTCAAATAAAGGGAGTAAAGAAAGGCAGGGACCAACTCTAAGTGTCCGTTTTACAGAGATGTCCGTCTTATAGAGGTGTCCGTTAAGAGAGAGTCGTCTGTACAAGCACACATGCAGGCCAAAGTGGTCATCCAAGACTTCGCAGTGAACCAGGAGTGAACTTAAAGAAGAGTAAAATAAGGAATATAAATATAATATAAGCTGTATCAAATGGCAGTATCTGTTCCGGCAAAGCATGATGTCCCAGTTTGTAAAGCTAGACTAGCGGGCCGATAGTTGAATCGAGCAAATATTCTATCACATTCAGTTAGTGACCACTACAAACGAGCGATGTATTATCCATTCCTTGGCCATTTGCTATTGGAGCTTGATTGGTGTGTTGTCGAACCAAGTCCACTGTTTACTATAACAAATCTTTTGCCGAAAAATGTAGGCAACCGGTCTCCAACTAGGATCAGTGTCAAAGAAGTTTTGGGCGCGTACAATCCCGACATCCCGGAAGAAATTAGACGATTACAGGAAACTGAATGTCTGCGGTCGAAAACAGGTTGGGATAGTGCACGATCCTCCGGCCACAATTGCTGAAACACTTCCTCACTGTCACCCGCAAGAGTTCCCAAATTTATCCAGGGCATTTACGGCACTTTTAACTCTACCAATCACTGCAGCAACTGCAGAAAAGTCTTTCAGTGCACTGAGAAGACTTAAAACCTACCTGAGGTCTACGATGAAAGAAGATCGCTTGAGTTGACTTGTTCTTATGCATATTCACAAGCATGATGTGTAAAAAGGCAACAGTTCGAAAAAAAAAACCGACACTTGTTTGGAATGGTGGGGGTGTGGGGTACACCTTTCACTAGCAACCATATTGCAGGTCCGGATACACACGTACACTAGTGATATGTGTACGGGGATACATACAAACTAGATTTAAAAATTTCTGTTTCTGTACATTTCTTCAAACCATTCTTGGGGTCGAGGGTAAACCCACGCTTGCCTTCGCAATGCCGCTCTTTCTCTAAGAGTACGTCTTCGATGGGTAATCAATGAACCTGTCACTAAAACATCTTCACTAACTTCGTATTCCAAACCAAGGTAGGTAATAAGGGAGCGCATTCTTCTTGCTCGTCTGAGCAGCAGAATTAAAAGCAAAATGCTCACAACAGAAAACAATACTCTCTCACATTGAACCATCTTTAGCTATCTTTGTACACTTGTGAGGGTCACGCTCAGGAAGTTACAGTTCAGTAATTTCAGTTTAGTCAGCTCTCATAGCATGTCATCATTCCGTGGGATGCCTGTGGCACTCCCACGGTAAAAATCCGGTTCGGTTGTACCCAAAATTGCAAAGCCAGCCAATAGGATTGCGTAAAATCTTTATCGATTATCTGCTCTTCCAAGCCGACCAATCAGATGGTACAAAATTTGTATCGATTTTTAATCGATTTGCTTTCGCTGAAGAAAAATGAAATCAGAACGTTCCTTGCCAAATTTGTCGCGCTTGAGTTTTCCCACTCGTGGTTTAGGATGGCTTGTTAACCAGCGAAATCCTTCGGGATACTGGCAAGTCACGAAAGGCGACCTAAGCCAAATTATTTCTTTCCTTCATGATTCTTTTTTGTTTAGGTCTAGCTTTTTCAGAAGGTTTTAGTAGCGTCTGGTTGCGGGCCGTGATTTCCGATAGATTTTTCTATTCGGAGTTCCTGGGAGTTCGCCAGTTTTTGCCGAGCACAGCTACAGTTCAATTTTTTGTTCTTTTCTTATCGAAAACACCTTGACGATGGGAGGTTAAATCGCGTAAATTTCGACTCGTACCCTTGACGATTGGCGTTGAAATCGCGAAAATATTGTCCTCGTCGATCGACGACTCGGTTTCGGCATGGATTGTACTTCTGGATGGGACACGGATCAGGACATGAGTAAACTTATTATACCTTGGAATCAGGGATAATCATTGAAACTATGTTAACTTTGAGACCTTGGAAACACATTGCAATTAATTTTTAACCGTATCAAGAGCATCTTGGAATATTAACCTTCCTCTTGTAAGCAAGCGGATGTTTTGTTTTGTTTTGTTCCATTAACCTAGATAGAACGCCATTATGCTTTCATAGACCAACGCATCCCACGGAAACGACTTTAGGCGTCTTGTTTGTTTTACTTTTCACTCTCACATTACCGATCACGCGAGAAAAAAACGCCTGGAAAGTTTCAAATGTCTTTTTAAGTGGACCTGTCAGGTTTACTACGGTAAAGAAGACGTTACGAGACTTACCATAGTAAAGCCCTTTTTACCATAGTAAAGTCTCTAGTGTGACCTCAACCATTGTCGATGTTCGCCGGTGCTCATATTTCGAGCTTGGGCTACCTGTGCAGAAACTACAGACATCATAGCTGCAAAACTACTAATGTGACCTAGTTCTGTTGTCCCCGAGCATCGCGTTCCGTAGGAATCACCTTAGCTTAAGAATACAATATCTCAAACCTTTGAGTGTGTGCTGGAGGTCGCAGAAAACGGAAGCTAGGCACTTAGAAAGCCAAGAAAGTCTTGATGGCTTGCGTTCATTCGGAGAAATACCACAACGCAATCGCTGGAGGTTTATGTACGATGTTATAACGAAAACTGAGGGCTTTACTAAACCATTCAAATTCTTAGAGCGCCTGTTCGATGAGCTTGGCCCCATTTACAAAGAGGACTTCACTATGAGGCCGTCGACGACAGTGCATGTAATCGATCCAGAAGATTTCGAGAAGACCTTCCGTGCCGAAGGCAAATATCCACAAAGGCCAATACTAGATTTTCATCTCGAGCACCGTAGACGGAGAAATTATTTCCCTGGCGTACCCAACCTGTGAGTATTCTTTGCATCAAAACAACAGACGTTCTTACCGACATGTAAACGTGGGTGTGAAAGTGCTTGAACCCTCATTTTCTGGCATAGAATAATTAAAATTATTTCATCCTATGTTTTCCTGCTCGATAATTTCCTCCTAGTCCTAGTTTTCAAGCCCTACAACCACGCAACAATTTGGCAGATCAAGCCACTAAGAATTATTTAAAGGAAGCCTACAGAAACACAGAAAAAAAATACAAAATCCACAATCTTCCTCACGCAGTTTAATTTTAGCAACGATTTGAATTGTCATTATTTTTAATACTGTTTATGATATAGACTGTTCACAGTCCTCTATTTTTCCGTAAGATCATCGAGATCGAGCGCTTTGCGTTACGGGCTAGGGCACCACCTAGAGCTATAATCCCCGACGCCCGCCCCCTCGGTACATTTGAAAATCAAGATAGCCGTGACGGTAAGACGCGGTATATCTAAACGATCTCACGAAAAAATAGGGGATTGTGAACAGTCTACCGTAAATCCTCTATTAAGCCCCCCCTCTCAAATAAGCCCCCCCTTTTCAGAGGAGGAAAGTTAATAAGCCCCCCCTCTCTATTAAGCACCCCCCCCGATCAGTTATGGTTTATTCATAAAAATTACCGAAGAACATGAGGTCGAACGCGAAAGCACATTTTTGAAGAATAAGAATTTTGTTTTTGTTACTTTTAGGCTCCCACAAGTGAATTAAATGCTTTTGACGGTGACTTTAATTGTACAATGCGCAAGTCTACTCTGTCTCATACCACGGTATTTTTGCTACAGGTGATGCGTTTCGCTAAATTAAATAAGCCCCCCCTCTCTTTTAAGCCCCCCCTCTCTATTAAGCCCCCCCTCAAAAGTGCTTGAAAAAAATAAGCCTCCCGGGGGGCTTAATAGAGGATTTACGGTATTAATCATACATTTACTGGTGACATACATGATTGATATTCTCCCTATTCCTAGTTTCCAAGCCTCACAACCACGCAATCGCAGATTAAACCACTAAGAATTTTCACAGGACACCTACAGAATATATTGCGTCGTCACGCAATCTAATTTTAGCAACAATTTGAACTGCCATTGTTTTAATATTTTTAATTATCATATACATTTACTAAATGATATACACGATTGAAGTTGACCACGTTACGAGCTCTTTTGTAGGTTACAGAAGGAATGTTTTCGACGAGTGAGCACTTCCCGATCTAGTACATGCAGTTGCCATTTTTGATGTTGAAAATTAAAAGACTGAGATTCAGGGCCTTTGATATGAGTCAGCCCTTTAGGCCGGGTTGGGGCCCGTTTCTCGAAAGTCCCGATAATTAACGGGCCCGTCAAGCTGTTGTTGTTTACATGCAAGATAGAGGTTTCAATAGTTTTGCATCTAACATGATAAAACTATCAGTTAATGAAACTGACCTGTGCTCTTATTCTTTATATTTCGATTTGAATATTTGATTTCGGGGCCGAAAAGTTACCGGGACTTTCGAGAAACGGGCCCCTGCAGCTGGCCCGCTTTTACCAGACTAGCTTGGCCCTTTATTGCCTTATTTTCTCATAAAAGTTTCGTTTTGTTTACTCGAAAAAGGTGGCCGCCTTAGCTCTGCCGACCCCCCGCTTGCTCGAGCAGAGATCTCAGCAAGCAGGCCAGCCCACTTCGTTATTTTTAGGGAAGCAGTGAAACGGAAGGGGGTGGTGTGGGGCAGCAGTGTAGTGCTACTTGGGGGAGGGGGGGGGGGCGTCAATGACTGTAAAAACAGAACACCTCCACAATAAGCGATTTGTGATCCAAACGATGACACTTTCTTAAACTGAAGACTGGGACATAATAATTTTCAACAATATTGGACTTAACGTACTCAGTCATGACAGTTTTGTTTTAACAGACAAGGAGAAGAATGGCACAGAGTGCGGCAAACCATTGCTCCTAAGATCATGCGTCCTAAAGTTGTCGAGGAAAACATCGGGAACTTTAACGCAGTAAGCAAGGATGCTGTGGCAAGTTTGGTGAAGAAAGCTTGTGAGCAAGATGATCACATGCCTGACTTGGAAAAGGAACTTTATCGATGGTCTTTAGAGGGTAACAATCAGTGTATATGTTTGCGAGGTATCCTAGTATCCCAAATCGTGCCTCTATTCTAAACGCTATCCCGGAACCCGCCAAACCTATGTTTGACCACAGGTGGCCCAAACATACGCTATAGGGAAAGGGTGTAAAGTAATAGACCTTTTTACCGATACGGCGGCCATATTGAATTAATTTGAGTTAATAAGGAGTATCATGGGATGCTCAGGGGGCATGAGCACGATCCTTTCCGGCTCGCTTAGTTTTAGAAATATGGCCTTTCACTGTATATTTCTCGGAGAAAAGGTGATCTTTATCACATCCAAACACAGCACAACGATCTTATTTTCCCATAACAATCTTATTCTAAGAAAACATATAATTGTTATTACATCAGTATAGGGCTTTATTACATTTAGGATCGTTTACATTAGGCCTACATTACATTTAGGCCTTCTACAACTCCAAGAAAAGTTAGAAAGCTCATTGTCAAATACAACTCACGTGCACTAATGACTGAACCATATTTTTTTCGTGGTGTTTATTCTAGGTATGGCTACATTCGCATTTGATACTCGCCTTGGATTATATGAAGATCCACCGCCACAAGAGGCACTTGAATTCACAGAGGCAATCATCAACTTTTTCGAAATTTCCCAACAGCTTTTGTTTGATGCATTTTACCAAATTGCTTCCAAGTATATTGACACACCACTATTTTAAAAACTTCTCTAGAATTGTGACACTTTGTTGGATATCGGAGGGGATTTTGTTAACAAGAAAATGATGGAGCTGAAAGAAATGACAGAAAAGGGAATTGATCCTGCTAAGACTGAAGGTGTGTTAATTGCTTTATAATTCATTCAAAATAATTCCTAGTTTAAAAACAAGCTAAAACGTGCATACCTTCGTCGATGTTAAGTTCGCCTTGATAGTGCATGTTTAGAAGATAAAGGAGTCGGGTTCAGGTCTGCAAATATACTGCAACGAGCAGATGTTGTCCATCGAGTTGTCTTCTTGCTATGTTTTTAGACAATAGTTCGTCGTGACACGAGTGAAATGTTCCGCCGACTGTTCGGCCATTTTTCTTTTCACAACCAAAACACCTCAACCTCGTCCCTAGGTCTTCTCGGTTAACGGTGCATTAACCTGCAGCTGTGCTGCACTTTTGACGTCATCGGTTGATTACCTTATTATAGGAAATTAACGCTCCATGAAGTTAAGGTATTGGAAATTAACGCGACTTAAATTAACGCGATGGAAAATGGAAAACGACTTTCGAATAAAGAAAATTAACGCGAAAGAGGAGCTAGAATTTCGTAATAAAAGAAATTAACGCGATTAATTACGCGAAATCAAAGGAGAAGATATTGACATCACTTCTGATAGCGACAACGAGAAGATGAACTTGAAACATTGTAAACCTTCGCCCTAGCTTTTGTGAAAGATGAAAAATAAGAGGTAAATGGAAAGAAAGAAAGCTTGTAGTTAATGTTTTTTAGGTGTCAAGAATGTCTGGACAGGTTCCAAAATTGGGGTTAAGATACTGGAAATTAAGAGCGCGGAAATAAACGCTGCACTTAATTAACGTCGCGGAAATTAACGCTCAACAAATTAACGTGACTTAAATTAACGCGAATTTTAACGATTCGCGTTAATTTCATGGAGCGTTAATATCTGTAATAAGGTAGTCACAAAATTCTACCAAATTTGGTCAACCGTAGCTGGTTATGGTGAATTATGCGTGTGCTTTTAGCCAATCAGAAACGGAGAAATATTTTGAATGAATAATAACATGACTCATGTTCATCTGCATTTCTTCCATACAGCAATTAATGCGCATGCTCAGCTTGCAAGGCAAGCTACTGCCACACGAACAGGGGGTGCATTATCCAGCATTATTATTCATTCAAAATATTTCTCCGTTTCTGATTGGCTAAAAGCACACCTGAACACACCTGATCACCCGGCTTAATTGTACAATGCGTAAGTCTACTCTGTCTCATACCACGGTATTTTTGCTACAGGTGATGCGTTTCGCTAAATTAAATAAGCCCCCCCTCTCTTTTAAGCCCCCCCTCTCTATTAAGCCCCCCCTCAAAAGTGCTTGAAAAAAATAAGCCTCCCGGGGGGCTTAATAGAGGATTTACGGTATTAATCATACATTTACTGGTGACATACATGATTGATATTCTCCCTATTCCTAGTTTCCAAGCCTCACAACCACGCAATCGCAGATTAAACCACTAAGAATTTTCACAGGACACCTACAGAATATATTGCGTCGTCACGCAATCTAATTTTAGCAACAATTTGAACTGCCATTGTTTTAATATTTTTAATTATCATATACATTTACTAAATGATATACACGATTGAAGTTGACCACGTTACGAGCTCTTTTGTAGGTTACAGAAGGAATGTTTTCGACGAGTGAGCACTTCCCGATCTAGTACATGCAGTTGCCATTTTTGATGTTGAAAATTAAAAGACTGAGATTCAGGGCCTTTGATATGAGTCAGCCCTTTAGGCCGGGTTGGGGCCCGTTTCTCGAAAGTCCCGATAATTAACGGGCCCGTCAAGCTGTTGTTGTTTACATGCAAGATAGAGGTTTCAATAGTTTTGCATCTAACATGATAAAACTATCAGTTAATGAAACTGACCTGTGCTCTTATTCTTTATATTTCGATTTGAATATTTGATTTCGGGGCCGAAAAGTTACCGGGACTTTCGAGAAACGGGCCCCTGCAGCTGGCCCGCTTTTACCAGACTAGCTTGGCCCTTTATTGCCTTATTTTCTCATAAAAGTTTCGTTTTGTTTACTCGAAAAAGGTGGCCGCCTTAGCTCTGCCGACCCCCCGCTTGCTCGAGCAGAGATCTCAGCAAGCAGGCCAGCCCACTTCGTTATTTTTAGGGAAGCAGTGAAACGGAAGGGGGTGGTGTGGGGCAGCAGTGTAGTGCTACTTGGGGGAGGGGGGGGGGGCGTCAATGACTGTAAAATCACAGAACACCTCCACAATAAGCGATTTATGATCCAAACGATGACACTTTCTTAAACTGAAGAAGAGAGAATAATTTTTAACAATATTGGACTTAACGTACTTAGTCATGACAGTTTTGTTTTAACAGACAAGAAGAAGAATGGCACAGAGTGCGACAAACTATTGCTCCTAAAATCATGCGCCCTAAGGTTGTCGAGGAAAACATCGGGAACTTTAACGCTGTAAGCAAGGATGCTGTGGCAAGTTTGGTGAAGAAAGCTTGTGAGCAAGATGATCACATGCCTGACTTGGAAAAGGAACTTTATGGATGGTCTTTAGAGGGTAACAATCAGTGTATATGTTTGCGAGGTATCCTAGTATCCCAAATCGTGCCTCTATTCTAAACGCTATCCCGGAACCCGCCAAACCTATGTTTGACCACAGGTGGCCCAAACATACGCTATAGGGAAAGGGTGTAAAGTAATAGACCTTTTTACCGATACGGCGGCCATATTGAATTAATTTGAGTTAATAAGGAATATCATGGGATGCTCAGGGGGCATGAGCACGATCCTTTCCGGCTCGCTTAGTTTTAGAAATATGGCCTTTCACTGTATATTTCTCGGAGAAAAGGTGATCTTTATCACATCCAAACACAGCACAACGATCTTATTTTCCCATAACAATCTTATTCTAAGAAAACATATAATTGTTATTACATCAGTATAGGGCTTTATTACATTTAGGATCGTTTACATTAGGCCTACATTACATTTAGGCCTTCTACAACTCCAAGAAAAGTTAGAAAGCTCATTGTCAAATACAACTCACGTGCACTAATGACTGAACCATATTTTTTTCGTGGTGTTTATTCTAGGTATGGCTACATTCGCATTTGATACTCGCCTTGGATTATATGAAGATCCACCGCCACAAGAGGCACTTGAATTCACAGAGGCAATCATCAACTTTTTCGAAATTTCCCAACAGCTTTTGTTTGATGCATTTTACCAAATTGCTTCCAAGTATATTGACACACCACTATTTTAAAAACTTCTCTAGAATTGTGACACTTTGTTGGATATCGGAGGGGATTTTGTTAACAAGAAAATGATGGAGCTGAAAGAAATGACAGAAAAGGGAATTGATCCTGCTAAGACTGAAGGTGTGTTAATTGCTTTATAATTCATTCAAAATAATTCCTAGTTTAAAAACAAGCTAAAACGTGCATACCTTCGTCGATGTTAAGTTCGCCTTGATAGTGCATGTTTAGAAGATAAAGGAGTCGGGTTCAGGTCTGCAAATATACTGCAACGAGCAGATGTTGTCCATCGAGTTGTCTTCTTGCTATGTTTTTAGACAATAGTTCGTCGTGACACGAGTGAAATGTTCCGCCGACTGTTCGGCCATTTTTCTTTTCACAACCAAAACACCTCAACCTCGTCCCTAGGTCTTCTCGGTTAACGGTGCATTAACCTGCAGCTGTGCTGCACTTTTGACGTCATCGGTTGATTACCTTATTATAGGAAATTAACGCTCCATGAAGTTAAGGTATTGGAAATTAACGCGACTTAAATTAACGCGATGGAAAATGGAAAACGACTTTCGAATAAAGAAAATTAACGCGAAAGAGGAGCTAGAATTTCGTAATAAAAGAAATTAACGCGATTAATTACGCGAAATCAAAGGAGAAGATATTGACATCACTTCTGATAGCGACAACGAGAAGATGAACTTGAAACATTGTAAACCTTCGCCCTAGCTTTTGTGAAAGATGAAAAATAAGAGGTAAATGGAAAGAAAGAAAGCTTGTAGTTAATGTTTTTTAGGTGTCAAGAATGTCTGGACAGGTTCCAAAATTGGGGTTAAGATACTGGAAATTAAGAGCGCGGAAATAAACGCTGCACTTAATTAACGTCGCGGAAATTAACGCTCAACAAATTAACGTGACTTAAATTAACGCGAATTTTAACGATTCGCGTTAATTTCATGGAGCGTTAATATCTGTAATAAGGTAGTCACAAAATTCTACCAAATTTGGTCAACCGTAGCTGGTTATGGTGAATTATGCGTGTGCTTTTAGCCAATCAGAAACGGAGAAATATTTTGAATGAATAATAACATGACTCATGTTCATCTGCATTTCTTCCATACAGCAATTAATGCGCATGCTCAGCTTGCAAGGCAAGCTACTGCCACACGAACAGGGGGTGCATTATCCAGCATTATTATTCATTCAAAATATTTCTCCGTTTCTGATTGGCTAAAAGCACACCTGAACACACCTGATCACCCGGCTTTATCATCTAAACATGCACTACCGAGGTGAACTTAACATCGACGAAGGTAAGCATGTTTTAGCTTGTTTTTAAACGAGGAATTATTTTGAATGAATAATAAAGCAATTAATGAATTCGGCTTTCGTAGGATATAAAGAATTATGCAGATCAAGGAGGGTGTTGTCCACCGAGGCCGAAGGCATAATTCTTTATATCCTACTCAGCCTCATTTATTAATTGCTAATTATATGAGTTGGTCACCACACCCAGGCAAGAGCCTGTACGTCAGAAAATAATAATCAAAACCCAGATCCCCGTTTCAGCGTAAGAGGAATAAAAGATAGTGATACCTGGGTATATTATTGCTTTGGGAGAGGTCGTAGTTAACACGGTTACCGACACCGTACAAACAACTTATTGACGGGAGCAAGCAAAACTAACCACGAGAGAACGACTGGAGAACTGACAATTTGACTGACAATAGACGATTGTTTAACTTTGACAACAGGGACTTTAAGATCCAACGACGTGGACGGTAACGAGAACGTCAAAAAACTATAGGTTTTATTAGCAAAACAACACCTTTGCACGTGCACCAAGCTTTTCTGTACATTTCTCTGCTCGTTTTTTCACGACTACGACGTGAACATGCCTAATTTCGCGTTTTATGGAGGACGTAAACAAGCAACGACGAAATTTTATTTCTTTTTTTTTGTACTTGTGTATGGTGCCTTGGAATTCAGCTCCAGGAGGGTTTGCCTACATTTGACAAAGTACGTGGGTAGAAATAATTGCGGTAAAGAATGAAAGAACGCAAATTCACTTTTTAAGCGACGTTGTCATTGCCGTCGCGTCGTTGGATCTTTAAGTCCCTATTAGACGGATCGAAACGCACCAATGACATTACCAGTCTTCATATAGCCAATAACATCACGGCTTAACTGACGGACGACCAACATCATATCGACGAACTTCGCTACTTAATATAGTTGACCAATCAGGTCAATACCCAGTCAGAGTTTATCATCAACTGACATGATACTACTCACTTTGACTATGAAGATGACTTCCGCAAGTCACTGCGATCAACAACAGTCCTATTGTGGGCTACGTTCACCCAGAACATCATAGTCAACCTACTTGGAAAAGGTCTATGGATAAAACATTGTTTTATTTCTGTAATGTAGTTGTTCCGCTGTTGACTTATTTACCCATGAAGAAAGATCTTACCCCAGAGGAGGTCAATGGACACGTAGTTGATGTTGTCGCTGGTGGTGTTGATACGGTAAGAAACTCTAATGATAATTCATTTGATTGAGAAGGTGGAGCAAAAGTTCAAATTAGAAAAAGGAAGATGACTGGACTATAAGAAAAGACAACAGGTATTATTACGAGGCTGTAGTCATTTTATGAAAAAAGAATCAAAGTAATTTTCATTAAATACCCCCTCCCCCCTCGTGACCCTTCGAACATAGCGGGGAACGTCCGTCTCCCCTTGGGTAAGGAGGTTTCTTAAAAGTCCCGGTGTTAAAAGTATCGGTACTTGGAAACCAAACAGAATTCATCTCAGTCTGGATAATCAGGTATCGGAACTCTTATGCAGCCGGTTTTTGTGTCACCAGGCAATATATGTATCATGATAAGATAAAGACTGCTGTGGGAACCTCGCTTTGATCAGGGGGGGCAAGCTACAGTAGTACGAGTCCAATTCACGGACCGAGGGACGAGGTTGTCTAGGAAGGACAGTTAAAGTAAACATTCCAATCTTAGCAGACTGGCTAAAAAAGGGACATTTACATATACAACATATACATATTTTTCTCCAAACTAGAAACTAAAATACCTGACTTCAAATCACTTTCACACGATACTTTAATATCTCTTCTTATGAATTCTTCTGATTATTTAATTAACTGTCAATTAGTTTCATTTATCTCGCAATGCTTTGAATTAAGAACCAAATTAATATCAATGAATGAATGAATGAGAACTGTAACGTTTTGTAATGTTTTGCACGTACTAATTAGTTGAAGTAGTACTTAAATTTAGACTAATAGCTTTTGCAATACTGTAATTCCTTTATGGTCATGCAAATAAAGCT